TATATATATGTAACTTATAAAAAGTAAGTTTCCTATTTCTTTCCAATTTATTTTTCATTTTAACTAATTGAAATTGTAGTTGGTGCTAGACTTGGCTAAAATGTAGTTAAGATAATAAAATAGTTATACATGCACACAATTAGTTTAATATTAAGCAATTTCATTAAATTCAATAATAAGTTTGTTGGGCTGGTTGTGGCAAGGAAAGAAGAGAATTTAAAGAGAAACAAAACATCAGAGAGACAGAGAAAGGGCATAGGGAAAATGAGAGAGGTTTCAAGATAAAACTTTTATTAACAGTACATTTGTATTGAATAAAAATTTATTTAAGAATTTCATATAACTTACTAGAATTATTTATTGCTAGATTATTTTTATTACGATGTGGGCATAAGAGGGGATAAATAATATATATATACACACATACAAGAATACATACATAAGTGTGTGTGTGTGTGTGTGTGTGTGTGTGTGTGTGTGTGTGTAAAGCCCGAAGGCAGTGTGTGTGTGTGTGTGTGTGTGTAAAGCCCGAAAGTAAATTCATTGAAGATAAAAGCATTTAGCGAGTGGGAAGCACTGCCCACTCACAAGTTATACAACATACGCAAAAAGGTTCAAAAAATATTACAAGTATAAAAAAAATAGCATGAAAATATTCAAAAAAGTAGTGAAGGTTCAGGTGGCGGATGATAAGTTTTCTTCGTGTGGAACGGAGAACCTACGAGGGGCGATCAGCTAAAATCGTAAACCTTGAATACATTCGCCGATATCACAAAAAACCAGCCGCATAAGGTAACAATAGCACCATAATGAATAACACTAAGCCTTGTAACTCACTGATGAATAACACGAAGCCTCACAGAAATGCGCTGAGGAAAACACCAAGAGGTAATGATTCGCACAGACGAAAATATGTTGTGGTGGACCAATACCAAGCGGAATAACACAAGCAATAAGAATAACACAAGGAATAATACCAATACCACACAAAATAACACGAGGGGAAAGATGCCTAAGTGGGAGAATAACACTAATACAATGTGCAATAACACGACGAATAGCACGAGGAATAACATAATGAATAATAAGGGGAATAACACAATGAATAACACCAATACCATGCAAAATAACACAAGGGAAAATATGTTGCGGTGGGAGAATAACACCAATACTATGTGGAATGACACGTGAAATAGCACGAGGAATAACACAAGGAATAAAACTAATATAACACCAATACTACACGGAATAACACGGCTGATAACATGAGGGATGACTCCAACCTGGAAAAATACCACGAGTAACACTTGGAAAATTGTTGAATAAAAGATGCAGAGTACGGGATACAACCGTCCAGAACACCTCCAACAATGGAAATAAATCTTGAAGCTTCACCCATGGTGTGATCTTTAGAGATAGGGTTAATCCTAGTCTCTTTCCAAAACAAATTGCTTCCCCATTCCTCTCCCCCTAGTTCTAGAGAAGGAGTCAAGTGACAAATGGGTTTGTTGGCTATAGTCTGGAACTAACAAAGTGTCATCAAGTAAACTCCTGAGTTCAAGCATTCATTTGTTCTTCTTCTTAGCTTTTTGAACCCGCCATTCCTCTTGGGGGTGTATGTTGATTCATAAATTACTAAGTAGGTACAGGCTGCTGCACATCTTGAACTTGGCACTCCTCTAAGATTGTAGTGCCCACATAATCAGCTTGAAGTGGTTCCATAGTTGTTGGAGT